AGAAAGCCTCATCTTTCTCCTGTGGAACAGCTGGTAGTTTCGAACTGCTAACCTAAAAGTTCGCACCCCGATTCGTAACCACTACGCTACCAGAGTTCCTTCCAACATCCTTAGGTCAGGGTAAATATGACTCCAAAGTAGAAAGCAGCCTCCCTATTTCAGAAATCCATGTAAAACTGCCTAAAATGATTCTTTCTATATACATTGTATGGTCCTGTAGGATAAGCATGGTATTGCTAACCAAAAGGTCAGCAGTTCAAACCCATCAGTCTCTCTTCAGAAGCCCTCTACACGGTCACAATGAGTTGGAACCAACTCCACAGCATTTAGCAGAAACAACACTTACGTTGCCTAAAAAAAAAAAAAAAAAAAATTTAATAATTTGCTTTATTAATGTTCTTTTCTTTAATTTGGAATTCATAATACTGACATGTATAGAAAACACTATACACACTTTAAGGAATAGAACAATCCTATAGTTACTACTCTGTTTAAACAAGGGAGAGAATTTCCAATAACTTGGAAGGTTCCCTCTACCCCTGACAATCTGTCTTCCTATCTCCTGCTTCTGCTATGGAGCTGATGCTGACTCATGGCATCAACTTTATAGGGTTCCCAAGGCTGTAAATCTTTAGGGATTTTTCTTCAGCAGAGTGGTTTTGGGGTTTGAACTGCCCACCTAGTGGTTAGCAGTCCAGTGCTTATCCTAAATGCCACCAAGGGAAATCATTACTTTGATTTTAGGATTAATCAATTTCTTGTTTTATCACCTAAGTATATCCCCAAACAATATAGGTTAGGTTTGTTTTCATACTTTGAATAAATGAAGCAATACATGGTATATATGCTTTTATATTTGAATCCTTTCATTAAGTATTAGGTACATATCGATTTTTTTTTTCATTTTATTCCCATATGAAATTCAATTAAATAAAATATGCCAATATTTTCATGTTCATTCTACAATTGAACATTTGCCTTGTTTTCATTTGGAAATCACAATTTTGTTTCATTATAAACATAAGCAGGAGTTTCTCTAGGGTTTGTATTTGTTGTTGCTGTTAAATGCCATCAAGTCGATTCTGACCCACATCCACCCTATATAGGGTTTCCAGGGAGCAGCTGGTGAGCTTGAACCGCTGACCTTGCAGTTCAAACGACTTTGCAGTCTGACGCATTAGCCCACAGCGCCACACCAGGACTCCAGGGTCTGTATGTTGTTGTTGTTAAGTGCCGTCGAGTCTGTTCCGACCCATAGCGACCCTGTACAGGGTTTCCGAGGCTGTAAATATTTACGCGAGCTGAAAGCCTTATCGTTCTCTCGCGGTGCGGCTGGTAGTTTCGAACTGCTGACCTTAAGGTTCGCAGCCTGATTTGTAACCACTATGCTACTAGAGCTCCTCAGGGTCTGGATAGGGGGCTTTAAAAGTTCATAGAAAAATTCTATTATCTTTTTTTTTTTTTTTTAAATGCTTCGTTGTGAATTATGTGATCATTTACTTGGGAGGGCATCAGCTTCACATTGATCCCTTACCATGGTTACAATCCCTTCCATGCATCATCCATCAACCAAAGGATATACCGCGTAAGCCTGTCCCCACCTCACCCCCAACCCCCGGTCATCCGCATACCGCCCCTCCTCTCTCTCTCCGGGTCCAAAGTCTCCAGCCGCTCCATCTCTCCACGTCATCGTCTCTGCCTCCATCCTTGGCATCACTGCTTCTCCGGGTAGGGTTCCCTTCTCCGCTCTTCTCTTTTGATGGTCCCAGGGACCAGGGACCTCCGCTCCTAGACTGCAAGGTTAATCACTCCCCTCCCTTTGCCCCAAAACGTCTACCTTTACATTTCCAGCCCTTGCAATCTGTCCTGATAACAATTATTCACTATTGTATGTCAAGAGACCTATCTGTATCTCCTTTCATCAGCCCCGCCTAGACAGATTGGATACTATTCAGTGGAGATTCTACCTTGCTCCATGCCCTCTGGAAAGCTTGTAAGCTGGTCACTTCTTGACTTTGTAGCCCCCCTCCTCCCCCCCATTCTGGGTAGCCAATGTCCAAGTTGCCCATCCCTGTCCTCTCCTTGTGCGGAGGAGGTGGGAATGATCCTCGCTGTGAAGATTTGTTCACTCTTTTGAGTTACTACTTCCATAGGTGTGTGTCAAGTTCATCAAATTGTATCAGATCAGAAAAATTCTGTTGTCTTTAACTCCATCTTTCCATAAACTTCTTGAAGCTTCCTTGTATTTAGGAGTAGCATTGCTGTATAAAAGGGTATGACCATCTCAACATTAGTGGATAAGGCCAAACTTCTTCAATTTCCACTTCCACTAACACTGTGTGTTTCCTATAGTTCTGTCACTATTTGGCTCCATTAGATTTCTTCATTGTTGTCAATCTGCTGCATGTGCATTGGTATTTTACCAAAGTTTCAATTAGCATTTCCATCTTTTCCGATGTTTATTCACTATTTGGTTTAGATTCTCTTGTTTTGTTTCATTTTAAAATGCTGGCTAGGACTCACTAAATGGATTTAATAACTCACAGTTTGAAAACTAACTGATCAAGGGCATATTACTTTACCTTTGTGAATCTTTTCCTTTAACCATTTCACAAGGTTGCTATGATGGTTCTGGTAGGCTGAAAAGATGGCCCCCACAAAAAAGACATGCCCACATCTGAATCTCAGAACCTGCGAATATTACCTTTTTTGGAAAAAAATATCCTAGCAGATGTAATTAAGGATCTTCAGATGAGATCACCCCGGGTTTTCTGAAAGTGTCATTTTAAGAGACACATATAGGAGAAGACATACAAAGAAGAGAAAGTGGTGTGAAGGCAGAGGAAGAGATTGGAATGATGTGGCTGTAAGCTAAGGAATGCCAAGAATGGCAGGCAACCATCAGAAACTGGGAGAGCAGCTTAGAGCAGATCCTTTCTGAGATTCCAGGAAGGAATATGGCCTTACAGACAGACACCTTGATTTCAGACTTATGGTCTCCAGAATTGTGAGAAGACAAATATCTGTTGTTTTTAAACCACCAAGTTTGTGGCAATTTGCATCAACTCGATAACAGAAAAGATACTAATGGAACAGTCAACTAAGATATTATCTGTGAAGCACATACATGGTGCTGAGTCCACAGTATGTGCTCAGTGATTGGTTGTTGTTGTTAAGTGCTGTCAAGTCAGTTCCGACCCATAGTGACCCTGAATAGGGTTTCTAAGGAGCAGCTGGTGAGCTTGAACCACCAACCTTGCAGTTCAAACAGCTTTGCAGTCTGGTGCATTAACCCACAGCGCCATAACTACTATTAATATGGTTAAAGAAATGACAGAAAATAAGATGGGAGTCTTAACATGGCCAAGAGTTAAGCTGCTGTCCAAATCTCAACTGGTACTTTCATCATTAACCACTGCATATCAACTCACTACTGTTCTGGGAACAGTGGTACTGCCTTCTGCTGTGCTAACACCAGCTACTAGTCTGTGACTACTGGGGAGGCCCTATTCGGTTGGAGTTTGAGTGAGTTACTTACCCTGCACATCAGCATGGTAACTGATTCTGGGAAGTATCTAGAGACTCTGAGAAACATCAGTAGCTTGCCTTAGAGAGCATGTTTTCTGATGCAGGAGGGCTATCATGAGTTTATTGTCTGAGGTTTCACATCAAGAAAACTGAGGCCCATGAGACATATCCCTAACATAAATGCCATGCTCAGTGCTCCCTACTCTTATTAATGACTCTTTTCTCTTCTTATTATGAAATATCATTATGATGAAAAATGCTGCACTGGAAGAATCTTATAATACATTTTACAACACAGAAAATGCTTTGCCTATTGAATCTTTTGGAAAGGTTCATTCTGACAAGCTAAGTTTATTATTTTGTTTATTATGAAGTTGGGGACATCATGAAGTCAAAGATTCCACCAGCTGGCCTGGTCTTTTATTTTTTATATTTTATTAGAACCGACTCGACTCACTTAACAACAACAACAACAATAGTTGCATGGAGACCACAGTCTTGGACTAGAGACGGATGGGGAATGGCAGGAAACAACCATAGATAGAAAAAGGGGTGGAGTCTTCTTATCAGTAACAATGACAATTTTCAACAATGTTGACTTGCTAGTCTGATCAAACATCCACTTTCTAGAAATAGTCATAAATGTATGCTTGATTTTTAGTTGAAATGTTCCTTTTATATAAAATCATCTAGATATTTAGTAGGCAATTTGGAACTTTAGACAGCATTCTAAATATTATAAACTTTTAAATAGTTCTTCCAAACAACTCATGAATATATATTTTTTCCAAGCCAAAACAGATATTCCCATGCTTCAAGTGCAATTTCTAATTTATTCTTAAAGGCTAATTTGCAAAATGAAATTGTTTGGATGATTGGTTTGCAGTAAACATGGCGTACTAAATTGGTTTCTAAATTTAGAGAAAGGTTGAGTCTCCTCTTATAATAATCAAGAAATAATAGAAGTATTAATGATAATGAAGCTTCCATAATTAAAAAGTCAAAATGTAAAATAATAAGCAGAAATGAAGGTTAGCTGGTAGCTACTATAATTTATTATTTTTGCAAATGGTTATTTTGATTTCTTTTCATGGGATAACACAATCTCCAAAATGCGAGTTCCTAAATGATAGTATATGTACCATATGTATAATAATTATGTTCTATAATCTTAGGGGATTTAATATTATTAAACATGATTGAAAGATATCGAAAATGTTGCCTAACATTCCAATAATCATAAACAAAGGCAAAGTTATTTTAATAGATGCTATAATTTCCGTGTAAAATATTGAAACATTTTTAGAAAATAGAAATGATTGTTATACATGTAAATGTATTTGGGAGGAAATTTTTATTTACGAATCACAGGATTTTAAGACGAACTCTAAATCTTAAATAAAGTAGACTCCATGTCTTTTCTTGGAGGTTTTTGAGGAGTAATTTTTGGAAATATCTCTTTGGCATAAAATGTTTTAAGAAGTCCAGCTTCTCGAAGTGCTAACTCCAAGCGCAGTCTAGGATCAGAAATTATCTGTAGAAATAAAATACAATGTGAATAAATAGAAATTATTTCAACTAAAGTACACTTATAATTTAATTCTGTATTTCCCAAAGCTGTATATATATATATATATATATTGTTGTTAAGTGCTGTCGAGTCAGTTCCGACCCATAGCAACCCTGTGCAGGGTTTCCGGGGGTGTAAATCTTTACGGGAGTAGAAAGCCTCATCTTTCTCCCGCGGAGC